CGATAGATATTGATCCCATTGGTGACAATCTCTGACATGATCTTCACCCGCAGTCTCTCCAACTCTAGTCTCATAATTGTGTCCGATTTGGCGATTAATGGGATCAGATTGCATTTGGCGGCCAATGAGCGCATTGTCACCAAATCAATGGCTCTGAGGCCGTGACCGACGGGTGATATCATATACAGACAGATGTGGACGCGGGTGTCGTTCACCGGCGACTGATTTCTATGGATCTTCAGCTCCTCCTGGAGGTAGCGCTCGAACTGCTGGTCGATGTACTCTACCACTGACTTGTAGGAGTCCCCTGTTTGACGGGGAAAGGGATGTAAAAAAGTGGTGTTATAAGTCATACTCCTATCAGTTATAAATGCTATGCTATGTTAGGCTACGGCTTATCCCTGACCAGCGCCGGTACTGTCGAGTGCTATGCCATCGTATTGGAGGAACGGACAGACACTACAGTCCGGGGCCGGTGTTCAGCGCATACAACACCTCATATCACAGGCCAGGGCTGTCATGAATAAGACAAATCACTGTCTAATGAGCGGTACCGGCGCTGAACCGTTAGCACAGGTATGCTATCATAACATAACACACGCTATAATCTACTCAATGGAGACAAACCTTTGTTGATCTGATCGCCGAAGCCTTTGCTCTCAATGAGACCTAACTTGAGCTTAATATTGCGCTCCTGGAGGTCGTAGTAATTGGCGGTGACATCAACAGCACTGATGTTATGGCTACGAGTGCTTACGTCCGGGAACTTCATGTTGAAGAGGCTGTCCAATAGCGTCGACTTCCCGACCCCCGTCTGTCCCAAACACATGATATTGAAGCCGAAGCCGTCCCTCACTATACGCGACACAAACTGTTCCGGCAATGAGTCCACTCCTACGTAGCCCTCGGGTTTCAGCACCCGATAGCCGTTCCCTCCGTTCTGACTACCGGTGCCGTTGTTTTGGGACTTTAGCGCCGTTTGGTTGCCATTCATCGCTTGCGTTATCTTAGGTTTGGTCTTCATATTGACTGTCAGTTTGGTGGCGGCTATCGGCGGACCTCCCGATGGCGGGTGCGGTGGCTGATGATGACCACCATCACCATCAACGCCACCACTCATAGCACCGGTAGTCTTGTCGTCGGATGACATGCTGTGCGCGTGTGATTGGCCAACGATTGCGGTTATTATCAGTATATTAAGCGGTGTATACAGTGATTAAAGCGGTGATGACTGGCGAATGGTATGTGTCTTAAGCGGTGGTATTAAATATTGGATCAAATGAGTGGAGACTGAGGGGAAGAAATTCAATCGACTTATTGTCTCAACACTTGCCACTCGTATAATGAAATCTCTCGCAGAGTCTGGGCTTATATAGTGGGGGGTAATCACGTGACTGCGCAATGAGTGTCAAAGGGTGTCCACTGAATATAGTTTTGGACGAAAAGTTTTGGACGTATTGTAAAGTGACAGTTGATTACAGTCTAAATTATGATATTATGTTTGATTGTTATCAAGTATTTAACGATGAGTCCGAATATGTAATTTATATTGTCCTGTCACCTCGGGTTCGGCCGCAGTGACCACTTTTATTGGGGAAACCTTTATTATGATTACACACATGTCATATATCAATTCAATAGAGAATTTTACACTCAATACTATGGTGTATATAAAAACATTGTTAACTTAAATTATATTGTCGAAAACGTTAAATTTAATATATAAAAATATGAAAATTCACAATATTTCAGTTTAATTTTTAGTTTCCGACATTTTATTTAAATTGTGTTCTGTGTTAAATTCCCTACCAAATACCAAATAACATGTCAAGATTTTTAATTTTTCTTGATAAATGTAATCAAATTGCAATATTATTTATTTTAGTTTCTTGCACCCAGGATATTGTGATTGATTATGTGAAGAAATTAACATTAAAAATCTTGACGTGTTATTTGGTATTTGGTAGCGAATTTAACAAAATTCAACTGTCACTTTACAATGCCCGGCTTTTCCTCCAAAAATATATTCAGTTGGACACCCTTTGAGGATCCCCCCACGTATGTCGCAGTCTGCGAGTCACGTGACTCTCACATGTGTTTCGCAGTCAATGCTTAACACAAACACAAAGTGAGCGCCGATTTTGATGTCAAATACCATTGCATTCAATACTAAAACTCGTATAAAAAATACATTTAATTTAAGAAACAAATTATTATAAATTAAAATTAATTATATTTATATTTTTTGCGGCACTAAATGTGAATAAAAAATATTACATTTATTTTGACAAAACAATTATTGATTTATGATTTGAAAATCACCGCTCACTTGGTGTTTGTATTAAGCATTGGAAACACATGTGTTTTACAGGTTTTGATTAAATAGTGATTTAAATCAAGTTATTATAAACTAATTGTACATATAATGAGTGCTCACAATAGATCGAGTGTTGAATCAGTTGTTTGTGACTTAAATCCTAACAAAAAGTTTAAGAAAAATAAAAAGAGACATAAAAATGGGAAACAAAATAGTTTTGCTGTGAATACTAGTGTCCATCAAATGAATGGTAAAGAAAGTCAACGAAAATCACGAAAAATTAAAAGACTTACGAAGAAAATGAGACAAAAAGCCCGTAAACTGAATGGCAAACAAGGAGTGAGTGATAAATGTGTGCAAAGTATGGACACAACCAGTGATTCAATGCATGAATGTCTTATAAGTGACGCTCCCTTACATCTACTGATCCCTTGTCCCACATATGGACCAAATGAGAGACAATTAGTGGCAGAAAATAAACTCAAAGTAATTAAAGGAAACTTCAGTTCAGATGAGTTGCAAATCCTGGCAAACAATTGGCAACAGTTTTGCGATCAATACAAATGTAGTGAAGACATGAAAACCCAATTATTGAGTGATTGTTGGAAAAGTGAATCAAAAAAGTTTAGACGATTTAAGAGACGTGAAAACTTTTACCTACGATTAGCCTATGGTTTGCCTAACCGTACGGTTGAACACGTGTTAAAAACGGCGAGATTTATGTTTAATACGTTGAAAAAGTCCACTCATTTCGGGCCAAAAATTAATAATTGTCTCATAAGTAAGGCTCCATTACATCGACTCGTATTTTATCCAAAGTTTAGACAATTTGAGAGACAATTAGTGATTAAAAATAATATTCAAGTAATTAAAGGAAAGTTTAGTCTACAGGAGAAGCAAATCTTGACAAACAATTGGCAAAAGTTTTGCGAGGATTACAAATGCGATGACGACATGAAAACCCGATTATTAGGGTATTTCAAATACACCGACAAATATAGTAGGGATGAGTGGGTCAGCACCAGGAGACTTAGAAGGTTTGGCCGATTTTACCTGCGATTAGCCTATGGTCTGCCTAACCGTACAATACGCCAGGTCTTAGACACGGCTAGAGTTATGTTTCACTCATTCAAACACTTTAAGGATTTGACACCAAATGAGAGGCAAAATGTGTTTAAATTGTATGCAATATATGGACGCAAATGGACACAAATTGCGAAGAGAATCAATTGTAGACCCCTTTCCATACAACACTCCATTATATCTTATTATAACTGCAGTGGACAGCCGTATGAAACGGGGAAATGGGGTCCGGATGAGGACAAGAGACTCATGGATGCCATGAAACTGGTGTTAAATACCGATGACTTGACTCAACATATATTCACCAAAAACCTGAAATACAGACAATTAAGAGATTTATCGCAATTGAATAGAAGTGGTCATAATGTCCGGAGTCATTGGATTCATAATCTACGGTGGAAAGTAGCAAAGTTTGGGGAACTGGAGGACAGGTGGTCACGAAGGGAGGCATCGAAACTGATTTACTGCTTATTTCGGTATAATTTCGACGACGAGTCGGCTATTGATTGGCAACTCATTAGAGAAAAGTTTCTTAAAGTTTCGTCAATTGATAATCTGATAAACAATTGGCGGATAATTAAGTCTACCGTTCCCTTCGTTCACGAGAAACCCTATAAACTAATCATTGCTTTCCTTTTCGACCACTTTTTGCCAGAATTTGTCAAAACCGATGAAGACTTACGAGAATTTGAAGAGTTTTATCATTTTTGATAATTTTTTAATTAACTATAAATGTTTTTGTAATTAAATATAATATAATCATTATAATATGGTTTTTTGTTATATTTCACTAATGCTATCAATTTTCTAATAATAAAAACTCTATTACCGGTAATGAAAAGCAATTCATATAACTATTAATTAGTATAGTATTGAATGCAATGGACTTCACATTCAAAACCGGTGTTTGTGTTAAGCATTGGCTGTGAAACACATGTGAGAGTCACGTGACTCACGGTTTGCCCTTTAATTGCATTGTATTTGTGTTTTGATTGCCATTTGAGTTCATTTTAAACATATTTATTGTGTTTTATAGTTCATAATAATTGTGTAATTATTAATAAATTACTATTTTTTGGTCAATACATGAGTTGTTGCAGTGATTGTGTGATTGAATTGATTTGCGTTTGAATTGTAAACCAATTGTCGGTATAATGAAGAGAAAGGGAAAGGGATTTAGTATTCAATGAATTGATTGTCATTTAAATAGTCATCAAAAGTGTGGGAAAAGTGAAGAAATGGTCGACAAGTCGTTGAAGAGAAAGGGTTTTGTTGTTGTGTTGTTGTGACAGAAGTTTGCAAACAATTGAACACTAATTGCGAGCAAAATGTGAATAATTTGGGGAAAAGTGTTGCGAAAGAGATGTCTATTAATAGGAATGCATTGCAAATGAATGGCAAACAAGGAGTGAGTGATAAATGTGTGCAAAGTATGGACACAACCAGTGATTCAGTGCATGAATGCAATGATAATGCGCTCATTAATAGTGACTATAATGGTGTGAATAATGGCAACAATTGTCTCATAAGTGACTCCCCGTTACATCTATTGATACCTAAACCAAGAAATTGGTCGATAGACAAGAAAGTAGTTGAAGAAAATAACCTAAAAGTAATTAAAGGAAAGTTTAGTCCACAGGAGTTGCAAATCCTGGCAAACAATTGGCAACTGTTTTGCGATCAATTCAAATGCGATGAAGACATGAAAACCCGATTATTGGGATTTTATTCACTTATGGACAGCAAAACTGATCGCAAAAAGTTTAGAGATTTCATGAGAAGTGAAAACTTTTTGCTGCGATTAGCCAATGGTTTGCCTAACCGTACGATTAAACACATCTACGAAACAGCGAGATATAAATTGCATTCATTGAAAGGCCTAAAAGAGTTGACATCCGATGAGAAGCAAAAAATGTTAAAATTGCACTCAATATATGGCCGCAAATGGTCTCAAATTGCATTCAACCTTCGCTGCAAACCGCGTACAGCGCAGGAAAATATTGATAATTTGTGTGACAGTAGTGGACAGCCCTATGATAAGAGTAGCTGGACTTGCGATGAGGACAAGCGAATCATGGATGCCATGAAACTGGTGTTAAATACCGATGACTTGACTCAACACATATATACGAAAGATATGAAATACCGTGAAGCGAGAGATTTGGCACAAATTAATAGAAGTTATTACGATCTTAAAAGACATTGGAAACGTAACCTCCGCTGGAAAATCGCAAACTTTCATCACATGTCCGACAAATGGTCCCAAAAGGACACATCAAAACTGATTTACTGTTTATTTAAATATAATTTCGACGACGAGTTGGCCATCGATTGGGATCTCATAAAAGAAAAGTTTGCGAAAATCTCGTCGTTTAATATTTTGATGAAAAACTGGAGACTCATTAAGTCTACCGTTCCCTCCGTTCACGAGAAACCCTATAAACTAATCATTTCTTTCCTTTTCGACCACTTTTTGCCACAATTTCTCAAAACCGATGAAGACTTACGAGAATTGGAGGACTTCTACCAAAACTAATCATTATTTTCTCAATTAATACTATCGATAAAAAATATTTAATTTTCAAATTATTTTGTAATAAAAAACTTTGTTTTGTACCCAAAAACAAGTCTAACATAAATGTATAAAACTTTTTCACAAACACTTAAATTAATAAATAATTTCTAAAATATACTATTAATTGAGTAAAATTTTATTAAATATTTTAGTTTTCATACTATTGACTAATCCATAATTAAGACTTAAGTGAGTTTTATAAAATTTGATAATTTTTTAATTAAGTCTTTTATAATTTAAACTATTATGCCATCAAAATTAATATCAAAAATTTTTAATTAAATAATACCACATTTGCACGTTTATATTAAATTCAAGTTTAAGTTTTTTATACATTCACATCAGGGTTAACATCATAATTATTTTCATACTTTTTGGATTTCATTTTTATGAGACCTTTGTATTAAATATAATTGTTTTTTAAATAAAATTAATTATTAATTAACTACAATAACCCACTTCTCACTATAAATATTAATGTATTGGAAATGAATGGTAAACAAGGTTTGAGTGATAAATGTGTGCAAAGTATGGACATAACCAGTGATTCAATGCATGAATGCAGTGATAATGCGCTCATTAATAGTGACTATAATTGCAATCATAACCACAATTGCCTTATAAGTGACGCTCCCTTACATCTACTGATCCCTTACCCGACATTTAAAGCAAAAGAGAGACAATTAGTGGCAGAAAATAATCTGAAAGTAATTAAAGGAAAGTTCAGTTCAGAAGAGTTGAAAATCCTGACAAACAATTGGCAAAAGTTTTGCGATCAATACAAATGCGATGAACACATGAAAAACAGATTATTGCGGTTTTTCTCACACTTTTACGATAAGAAAGACAAAAAAAAGGTTCAATGAGTTCATGAGACGTGAAAACTTTTACCTGCGATTAGCCAATGGGTTGCCTAACCGTACGGTTAAACACATCTCGGATACGGCGAGAGTTAAGTTTCATTCACTGAAAACAATGAATGATTTGACACCCGATGAGAGACAACAAATGAAAACTTTGCACCAAATGTATGGCCGAAAGTGGACTAAAATCGCGTCCACTTTCCAGTGTAGACCGCAATCGGCTAAAGTCAGTGTCGATCAGTTTTATAACACCAGTGGACAGCCGTATAATAAGGGGGAGTGGAGTCCGGATGAGGACATGAGACTCATGGATGCCATGAAACGGGTGTTAAATACGGATGACTTGACTCAACATATATTCACCAAAAATATTAAATACAGAAAAGCGAGAGATTTATCGCTCGTTAATAGGAGTGAAAGCGATCTCAAGAATTACTGGAGAAACCACTTCCGGTGGAAAATCGCAGGATTTGGGGAACTGGAGGACAGGTGGACACGAAGGGAGGCATCGAAACTGGTTTACTGTTTATTTCGGTATAATGTCGGCGACGTGTCGGCTATTGATTGGCATTTTATTAGCAAAAAGTTTCCAAAAGTCACGTCAATTGATAATCTGGTGAAGAATTGGCGGATAATTAAGTCTACCGTTCCCTCTGTTCGCGAGAAACCCAATCAACTAATCATTGCTTTCCTTTTTGACCACTTTTTGCAACCATATCTCAAAACCGATGAAAACTTTACTAGAATTTGAGAACTTCTACCAAAACTAATCACTATTTCCTTAATTAATACTTTCGATAAAACTATTTAATCTTCAAATTATTTGGTATTAAAAAACTTTTTTTGTACCCAAAACCGAGTCTAACATAAATGTATAAAACGTTTTCGCAAACTCTTAAATCAATAAATAATTTCTCAAATATACTATTAATTGAGTAAAACTTTATTAATTAAATAATTGAGTTCTCATACTATTTATCCATAACTTTCATAAAATAGTGTTAAAACTGAACGTGTCTGTCCAGGTGGTTTAGAGTGAGCATTATTAGTAATAATTTATTACAGTACTTGTAATCATTTTATTAAAACTGTACACAAATACCATAACAATTAATAATTACTAATTAGTAATAATGAAAGGGATTAATCAATACTAAAATAATATATCATTAATTATAAATGATAAAGTATCAAAAACATCAATACAATTTATGCACACCTTTATTTAAAACTTTTAAATTCAAAGTTATATGTGAATTCAAAACTAATCCAGTTCCACACACCTAACAGCCCCCTCTATAGTATTGTACGTACACTATAAATGTTTTCAAAAAACATTACAGTTTTATGAACTACAGGTGTTGTTACTACCATATAAACTATAGTTAATCAAATTAATATAGTGATTATCAAGCCACTTTTCACCACCCGTTATCATAGCCCCAATCCCATGGGAAACACCATATGAGTGGGCAATGGAGCTAAACCTAACATTCCGTTCCCTTTCAGTACTACTGTTGCTATCATTTGGTTTCGGATCGGTATTTGGCTATCAGTTGAAAACATATCGTTTAAAATACTTGAGACGTAAGCGGGATCGTTTTGCCCGCAAACTATTTGATACGGAGCTCGAAATAAAGCAACACCTACAAGTCTAACCCATACTACCCGTCCCCTACCTGTCCCTAAACCCCCTGTTAATAGTATATTAATTTCTTCCTACACACTAATATTCACCGGACTTTTGGACCCTTTGTATACAAGCGATGCTGATTGTAGTGCATGGAGGCGCTGCTAAGTCAGAGGCCCAATACGTTCCCCTTAAAATAGCCGGTGTTAAACAGGCTGTCCGGGAGGGCTACCAGTGCCTCCTGGATGGGGGCAGTGCTTTGGATGCCGTGGAGAGGGCTGTCAGGTGTATGGAAAACGACCCGATCATGAATTGCGGTAAATATTGTGTTATTTTTGTGTGTGAATACCGTTCCCATTGAATACGTATGTGTCGTATATGTTAGGCTACGGCTCATCCCTGACCAGCGCCGGTACCGTCGAGTGCGACGCCATCGTAATGGACGGCCGGACACTGAATGCCGGCGCCGTAGCCGGCGTTCAGCGCATACGACACCCCATATCCCTGGCCAGGGCTGTCATGGATAAGACGGAGCACTGCCTACTGATAGCTACCGGCGCTGAGGACTTTGCGCGAGAAGTGGGCATTGAGTTGGTGGC